GTGTTGACTCAGTAGCTCCTTGGGCCAACTTATTATATGGAAGGTCACTGAGTCTTAAGACAAATTTCAATGATCTTCTTATTGCTTTAATAGTCGCAGGTCGATAGTACTTAAAATGACAGCAGGGGCATAGGTGTAAATAGAGATAATGCACACCAAGGCAAACAAATGCCTCTCAATAACTCTACTTAGTGCATGCTGCGTTCTTAGCCTTTTCGCATACAACAACGATTTACAGCATTAGTTCACCACAGCTTCAATATGGCGGGGCCACGTGAGGGCAGATGAACGAGTAATTGCTAAGTATTGCACTGTAGCACCGGCATACTGCGAGGGAGCATAACGTTGGTCGACAGATCACGAAATGTCTGGGTTCGGGTGTTGCGCATCTAGCTCATATCGGTTTCTATGAGCTTACGATATGACATCAGCACTTCACTCCCAGAAGTACAAGGGATCGTTAAGCAGACACGAATCGACGGTACTTTAGTACTTGCAGTATATCATATACAACGTCTGTGTAAAACGCAAATTTTAATTTTTCTAATTTTTGATGGAGGCCCATACAGGTTATGATTACAGCGATTCTTGAAAATGACGATGACAATGACTAAAGCTTCAATGCGAATCATATCTGTGATAAATGCAGCAGACACTGAAAGGTCGTTGCTCACCTCGCCGTCGAACTCAATCCAAAGCTTCGTTCTGAGAACATCGACATGGGTCGTTGGCACTGTCATAATGCAGCGGTACGAGTCTTCAAACACGTGATCCCTACGGATCCGCATATCGAATTTGTTCGGCACGTTGTCAGCTTTCACCAAATGGCTCCGGAAGTACTCGTGTTTGCGTTTGTAGTCACGTGAGTACGGAACAGCCGGGCCGGCGATCTGAGGGTTGTAGAATCTTGGATCTTCCCACTGCGTCGTTTTTGTATCTGTGAAGCAAAACAACAAATTACATGAAACATGAAGCGTTTAATGTGCTGTTGTTAACTGTTCCACAAAACGAGTAACGCTTTATCTGCCTACGGTCAAAAATGATCAGTGGTAAGTTTAGCAAAAAAACGACAGCATGAGTACTGTGGTAACATTGTGCCTGTCAAAACTTGCACACACGAAATGACCGTATTATCTGGTGAACTGGAAAACAGTCACTCCGAAGTGAAGTCAAAGCGAGGTAATATGTGTTATAACAAAGCCAAAAGAATGCGCCATCGCCACCCAAAACTCGACTTCTAAAACTGTGACTTCGGCATCTGCAGAAACGTTACAAACTGTAGCAACAGCATTCAACACTGCATGAAGCAGAAGGTCAAACATCAGAAAGTCGGGACGTGCATTTATATCAATAATCCAATCACATATACGATGTGGTACCATCAAATGGGCAAAACAGACGTCTGATAATGACATGACTATGGAGCCAATAATGACGTGATGCCACGAACAACTTGCGACTCTGACGCTTACGCAACATTCAAAACCGTTTCGTAGTTTTTCATCGTTTCTGTACGTCCACGGATTACAGCACATCAATGCTGTTTTATCTCTATTTTCAGTGATGCCGAACAAAACCAAAGAAATTCATTATGGAATGCTGGATGCCCTATCCGTTGACCAACTTCCCTCGTTATGGGTGCATCATGAACGCACGTAGACGCTTCTAACAGACCAATAATATTCTCCGTTTTCTGTCTCGAACGCTGGCCAAATAATCTACCATCGGATCATTTACCTACTAGAAGTTGGTGGTACAGCAGAACTCAGCTAGTAATTCTTGACCGCAACCGGCTGTGTCGCAGGCGAGCCACATGGCCTGCATACCTTAGCCCGCTGACGGCAGAAATTACGTCTATTAATCCATTAAGTCATGGAATTTGTGCATTGAGAACGTGATCCCAGAGGGGCACATTGCACATTTTCTTGCTCAATCGCTTTTGGCATGACCATCAGTTTCGTTTCACAGACTTCAGTAGAAAGCAAACTTTCAGAATCATAGATCACGGTGAGTTGGAAAGTTGAATCGAACAACCGTTTCTTTGCTCATATGACCAGTCCTTTTGAGTAATGATGTTTTAATATAATTAAAGCTGGCCCACGCCGCCATTCTTCTTCCTGGATACCCTAACACATTTCAAACTTAGCTTGGTGCCGTAATCGATATCGGCTGATTTCAAAGGTGCTGATGGATTTTTTTTATGATGATGATATGTTAATGATTTTAATGACAATGATGATGATGTCAATCACACAGGTTCTGAGCGGGATTCGTCAAAAGCGCGCAAGAGACACACAAGTACGTGAACATGTTTTCTATCAATGCAGGCAAATGAATGTCGCTACCTGTCATGTATAATTCTAAGTCTAAACAAAAACTACCACAACTTTAAATTTTGATCGTAACTGCCCTATGCAACGTAATCTACACATATTGATGAATTGTACGTGGTAGACTGAAATAGAATTGCACATGTATTGATCCATTTTTAAGAAATAAAAACGAATTCACGGTTATGCATTTATGGCTATGCCCATTCGATGGGCTACCGTCTTGACCGCAGTTGCTACTTTAACTTCGGTCGATGTAACTGCCAATTCGGCACTACAATCAGATACTGATGTTGCTTCTCAAATGAACGATTAGGTCGCTTAAGTACAAATGCCCACGAACAATTTAATTGATGGTCGATGGTCGATGAGTCGTCAAATGAAAAGACCACCATGTTTTGCAGTAGAAATTTGTAACCGCAGCGATATTACTCTAAAGAGTTCGCCAAAACGAATAAGTGAGTAGAAACTAGGCACTGGATTTTCCCCCATGATGGACTCTAACCATCGTTCAAAGTTTGATGCTTGATCCTCAAAGCGAGCAAAGGAACGGCATGGCGCCGGTGTTAGTCCAACTGCCAAAAGAGAAGAGACTTTCAGATGCTACCCAGCGGATCGTATCCTAATAGATGGCTCGAATTATAATCTTTTCGTCGAAACCAAACCAGAAAATGCTAATCCTTGTGAGCTTAAGCGGCGCTGCCATGTTAATTACTAGCTAAAGAAAGCCTATCCATCTTGTTATCCCTCTGCATCGAAAATGACGCTAGGTGCCATACAAGCATTCCACTCAGACTTAATAAACGCTAGCTGACTTTAGTGTTTTCGACGCCAAGCCAGTTCTAACGTGATTTATCGATCTTGCTGGAGGCCTTCATGGCGGCCGCCTGCAATCAGAACTTCCTTCCGAAGGCGGCGGTCATCCATTGGTTGGCAATGGCCCACCCACTATTTTAAATGCCTGGTTTGAAGCCAATCGATCATTTTAGACAGTCATTCCAGTTTCTCTGTTACAACACCATCTGACACAAGGGCGTACCACTTGACTCGCATCATACATCCCAAAATCTTCATTTCAGCAGCCTGCAGTTTTCAGTTTTATTAAGAGTCTCAAAAGTCTCAATCACAGAGCAGTGTTCAAACTACAAGCCCTGCATATCCGCAGCTTTGAGCTACTGCCAATATCTTTGTAATTCCAAAGTTAGAACAACTTGTTTCTTGCTGCCAGTGCCAACTCACAGTGCCGCTTAACTTTGTTTATCCATTTGCGCGCAGTATAATCCTAAGAGAGATACTCTGGTACCTTTTCTACAACCGAGCTGTTAAGGGTCAAAAGACGTGGGTTCAGATGCTACCGATATTCAGAAACCCTATATTAATGCAAAATTTACCAACACTTTCAATGACGTTTAATTTAATTATGTTATGCAGCACAATATGAGTTGTTTAGCTTACTATGGTCAATGAAGAACATTCGCCCGTCAACATGCAACCGTTTTTCCCAGCCGGCCTAAAATGAGTGCTACAATGACAACAACAGAGCAATATTCCGAAAAACGGCAACGACGCAAACGTCAACTTACCGGAAGGGCGCCTAACTCGTCGCACTGATGTTTCGGTTTATAGACAGTTTTCTTTTCTGGTAGCGGCGTTGCCTTCGAAGTGCGAGGGTCAATCTAAAGCGAGAAATTACCCGGCAATTAAAACTGCATCGAAAGTGAAATATCTATGGCGAATCCCCAGTCGGTAAATCTTAATCGACCCTTATTTTTTTTGAATAAATACTGAATCCTGCACTTAAACAACTCGGATTTAGGCGTCAAAATTTAAGGTATGTCCAACGAAATGCTCGAAATGTTGCAAAGAATTGTGAAGAATCGAAACAAACGCTACTCCGCTTCTTATACGGAGAATTTCAGACTTGCAGCTGCAAGTCCAACGGTGACTGACTGCACTACATTTTTGGTGGTCAAGTGGATCGGTTTTGTTTAACTCGTCACCGCACAATGAGAATAGATAACGACGATCCGCGACCCGTTCCATCTTCAACTCGCTTGCACCTCGCCATTTTCTTCAACAGATGCTTCACTCATGTTATGCTCATTTATGAAGAAGATATCTGCACCTATGATGTTTCGAATAAACACAACTGAGTGGGTGGGAGGAAAAGTTTTGAAAGCGTATCAAGAGCGTGCAAGCTTTTGGCTTAACTATTATAATCATCTAACAGCCGAGTGACTTCAAGCCATTCAGATCTTCAAGGCTTCTACTGCGTGGCGTTTTTCGGTGGTGAATGTCACCTGAGCAGTCTCACGAACTGGACGGTGGTAAATTATTACAAAAGATACTTTAACTTTGTCTCCCGACTGCTAATACTGGATTTATACGGCGAAAACAGTAAAGTAAAGTTATTCGTTTCACAGTAATACTGCGATAGGGTAAAAAGATGGGTAGAGAAGCGGTCTTAACAACGGGTTCCAACGTAACTTTTCACAACCCCTATGCTTCTAGTCGAGTAGGGGGACTATTTAAGGTCACGGCTCCACGGTATTAACAAGCGCCTGCAGTGAATAGACGCTACACCGGGTCATTGGCAGATCTTCTGACTTGCTCTGTATTTAAGACGCTACCGCTAACTGGAAAAACCATCAGCACATGATGTCCAAAACTAGCCATGCGATTGAAAAGTTCAGCAGGAGTTGTAAGACCGTGTCAAGGTCATTAATCTAGAACGTCAAAATTGGTCCTTGCTCCAGTCGAGCAAATGTTGTTCTGCATCCCAACAAAACATCAACTTTTGTATGTTACCCATCTTTATTCGATTTGAATACTTTATATTGCCATTCACACCTTTTCTCATTTCGAAACTATTTGTGCTCTTCCCTTAAACAGATTAAAGCGTCACTTGTTACGCACCAAGGCCACAACGATGTGATACGTTAATTTGTTAGCTATTAATGCACGATCTGTAACGCTGATTGAGAAGCTCAGCTGAAATTAAGTAAATCATTACGCACTGCAAGGTTATAGTCAAATATAGTTCTTCTAATAAATTAATAATATAAATCTTCTCGCGCCAGTGTCTGCTAAATCTGCGAAATTATACATCTTCGGCTTCTTGATCAACGCCTTGCTACTGGACACTTTTTAAAAACCGATATATAAATTCGTGATACCTTTCGCTGGGGTAAAAGAGATACAGGAGACAGCAACAGGTTCCGTGATAGCTACGAGCCCTGCGTGCCTGTGGTACAA